TAAGACATATTCACTGCATTCTACTGCTTCGACAGTTAGTTTTTGTGTGATGAGTGCAACATGAACCCTGCCCGGTTTTAAAGTTTTGATTGGAACAAATTGATGACAAAGCATGAACGAAACAGCCACAGTGATAAATTTGAATGATCACCCAACACAAAAGTACAGAAATGTAGTGTTAGGAATCAACGTTACTTTTATCATCTTGTTTCTGATTTTCAAGTTAGTCAAACAAATCATCGTTATGCAACATTCATAGTTCACAGATATGAGAAGTGTTTCCAAATGTTTGATCATTGAGTCGATGTTGTGTAATCAAATTGAAACTTATGGGAGTAATTTATGTTTGTTTTGTGTTAAAATTAAAATTGTATAATAGTTTAATTTTTTAATTAATACAATCCTCAGGTTTGACATATGATAAAATTATTGGTGGAGCAATAAAAAAATTGCATGCATAGTACATTGATTTTAATTTCAATTTTAATTTCAAAGTCATATTCCTAGTCCAAACTGTTGTTTTTCTTACAACAAGAAATATTTTATGATTCAATATCGCAAGGTAAAATTATATTATGCTGGTATGTTGTTTCTGAATGTAAATAGAGTTACTCGTATAAAAAATAATTCAGTCACATAATACAAGAACATAAAAGAAAATTCGTTATTGATGACAACAGTTATTGATAGATAGGCCTAATAATATTCAGCATTTCAGCAATGGCATTATTCGATATTTGTTGAGTAGTCCTAGGGCCTGAAGTTAGTTGTGGAGGCAAAAACAATTGTATTTAGGCCTACCTTTTAAATTAAAGAACAAAAATTCATTAGGCCTAATACATTTAAAATGTGCAGTAGTATGAAATCAAAACATTTGTATGAGCTTTCTTTATTTCCTATGTAAGACACAGTACAATACACCGCAAGCAGTGCAAACACTTTTTCTAGGCCTAAGTAAGATTAACTTGGACAGTAACTAACAAGAAGGTTGTGTGTCACCAGCAACAAGATGAATAACATTTTAAAATAAAACTATGATTTATAAATAACTAGGCCTATTATTTGGTATCAAGTAGGCCTATGCTCTTGTCATTTCTAGACACTAACCTCTTCTAAACTGGAGCAATGAGCAAATAATCTTTAGGCCTACTTACACTAGTATTTGAGTAATTAGGCTAATAATGAATTTGGCACAACATTATAGCCTATTCAAATGGCGATAGGGTACTGAAATGTGGAACCAGAGGGTGGGGGAAAATATTAAGATTAAGTTGTATCCCTGATCATGCGTTTCAAAGCTTTTTGGCAGCACACCCACCAAATTGAGGAAATATTTATTAGTCAACAAAGATTGTGCGATAGAAAATTCCTGATATTGCTGCAACTAACAACAGAAAGATGATTATGTCTCTGTAACCATCATAGATGTTTCAATTTATTTGTTGAACACTTATCAAATGCTCACACTTTTGCCGAAATTATGCAAGATGTTCAAGATGATTGACGCAGAAATGTCTTAATGGACCTTTATTTAATTTGTTTGTCAGCCACTTGCTTTCTTGTTAACTTAATTCTTGTAAACTATTTTTAACGGTTAAGTTAGCCATCCTCAGTTTTTGTACATTACTGTTTTGTTACATGTAGACCTAACTTAAAAATGGAGTTGTCCATTGGTAAGTCAATACATGAAAAGGTCAAAGCATACTTTAAATGCTTAATAAGCAGTTAAATAAATAGATATAGTTAACTTAACTTACTGCTGTTGGGATGTACAGTACCTATAACTTCAGTAGGAAATAATTGCAATAGGCCTGATTAAGTTACTAGTCTCGCCAAATCAGTTCAGTCCTAAAAGATAAAGTAGGTAGGAACTTTGCTTTGTAATGAGAATTTATCATCACACGTTAAATTTGCACCGATTATTCAACAACTTTGAAATAAAACCACATTCAATAGTTTGGTGCAAAATAAAACATGAACTATAGGAAAATACTTACGTATTCAAATCAACAGTGTATTCCTGCATAGAGGGCTTTGAATCAGGGTTGTCCGGATTCCATCGGTAGATGGCAAATGTCTTTGTACGCTTAGGCTTCTCGGCAGCAGCTGGGGTAGCCGAGGCCACGGCGCTAACATGCACCCTTTTGGCCTGAAATGTCATAAAATTGAATAATATAAAAGAGAGGATTTTTCTTCATGGTAACCTTGACATAATTATAGGGCATTTTGTTTAGCTTACATAATCCTGACCTATGCTAGAGCATATGTGTTCATCACTTATTTCCTGGTTGAAGATAATTTGATTTTTAAATGAAACTATAAAATGTTAAAAGGTTTATTCGTCTCTACATTGTAAGTCTGAACTGTATTATAAATTAAGGAAATGATTAAACAAAATCTAGGTGAAACAAAAGCTCTCCTTGAGAACTTTCCAAGGGACTCATTACGTAAGAGATATTTTTAATTAAATGAAGTTGATGATGTTTTAATGTTTTTTTTTTATGTTTAAATAAAAATATTATTTTTCAAACTTCTGTTACTTATAAAAAGACTATGCAATTAATTTACCTGTGATAGGGAAATCTGGCAAACTCGCTGCAACAACATCTCCATTGATGAAGTCGCCATATTTAATAATACAGACGACAAATAGCCCAAGGAGAAACGAAATGCCAGTTTATTCTCGATTCGGCTTATATTGTAGTTAAAAAAAGTTTTATTGGAAGATAGGCATTGATTATATATCAACAATATTCGCAGTTGGTAATAATGTAATATTATGGATAGAATTAATTTAGTTTTTCTATATAGTAGTTGTGGTGAGTTCAGCATAAATACAAGTAATACATTATGACTCAGAACTCTCTACTGTGAGCATTACATGCATGTGACAGAAACGGAATACAAAATACTACAAACAATTTAAAGTTATAATTTTTTTCTTTTTTTCTCTCGTGTCTACGATTGTGGCATTTTTTAAATGATGTCAAACACTTTTAAGGGAAAGCGGTCCAAACCCATTAAAGTTTTGTGGATGTGCCGGGGATTGAACCCGTCTCTCCCGCACCGAAGTCCGAGACGCTAACCACTAGGCTAGCAATACACCCTATTACAAGATAGGTAACAGAAAAAATGTAAGTACAAACTAACCCAAAAATTCATTATTATAAATGTCAATTTATACCAAATGTAAAACATGTTCAAAGTCTAATGTACATAACATCATAGATAAAACATAACTCTATAACATTCCATGCCTTATACCATACCATGCCTTATTTCATAGCCATTTGTACGGAATAGTGCTCTGGGGACACTCCCCTGCATGCTATGGATAAAAGTATTTACTTTTGTTACAAAAAAAGCTGTGAGGGTGATAACATCTAAAGGCCCTAGAGAACATTGCCGACCCATCTTCAAAGAATTGGGAACCCTCACAGTGGTGAGCCAGTGTGTGCTCAATAGTCTGGCCGTGCTAAAGGAGAACCTGAGTGATGTTGTGACCCGTGGTGATAGACATGGGTATGGAATAAGAAGAGCCCATGACCTTGATATGCCTCGCTGCCGCTTGAGCCATACCTTAAGGAGATACCCCCGCTTGGCCATTAAAATCTACAACTCCCTTCCAAACCACCTAAAGGAACCTCGACTGTACAGCGTTTAAGACCGAGCTGAAGAACTTGATCACAAATAGGCCCCTGTATAGTCTTGACGAGTTGTCTAATGATCCTTTAATGCCAGGTTGAGAAACAGACACGTTTACCACAGCCTAAGTTTTTGGAATTTTGTAAAGCAATTAAGTTTTGTAAATAATAATTTTGTAAATATTAGTATAACGACGCAATCTATCCGAGATACTTCGGTCAAAGATTAAGACAACAAGTATTCAAGTAAGTAAGTAAGTATTCATTCAAGTTTAAGCATCAAAAAGTCAATGCTCAAAGACAAAAAGTATTTCCTCTTACCAAAAATATTTCATTTGGAATCCATCTATTAATTTTATTTCTATTTAGAAATGATGAAATTAAACGAGAGATATAAACGTTTTTCTTTATAATCATATTAGCGAATTTCCCTATAGGGAAGTAGCTATTACCGTAGGTGGCATGGTAAGACCTAGGCCCGGGACCGATTTACTTTTTTCATTTTGATGTCCCCAGAGGCCAAAAACACCATTCGTTCAAATTTGTATATATATATATATATATATATATATATAGATTTATATATATATGTGTCCGTGAACTCGATAACTTGAGTAATTTTTGTCCGATTTTGATGAAATTTGGTTTTAAGGTGTAAGGTGGGATAAACTTGAATGAGTTCGCGAACCAGCATGATCGGACCATGGGAACAGGGTTTTACAGGGGGTTTTATGGGGTAAAAATTGGTTTTTCTAATTTTTTACCCTCTAAACACAAAATTTCCATATTTCTCTCCGGACCTTTTTAAAGAGCTTAAAAAAAGAAATAATTCAGTATATCCAAGTGTTTTTGTACAATTATTGGTTACGGAGAAAATTCAAAAAAATGTTATTTTAAAATTCCCATGTTATTCTTAAGGAGAATATTGTAGAATGTTGTAGTTTGCTTGTTTATGGATATATTTTAATCAAACTTGGTAAATATATTTATTTTATACAAAGTTATTCATATTTTACCAAAAATAAACTTTTTTACCCTCCCTGTAGCACCAAGCCTAGGTACTCATAAAACCTAATGTAATTAAATACATTCAATTGAAAATCAATTCAGGCAAACGGAAATTCGCTTAGTCGGCAGGTTTGCTGCGGCGGGGTTATCTTTTTATTTATCATCTTCCCTCATGCAACAAAAATCTTCAAACCTATAGTCTCCGACCAATATACCGGCTTAAAGCAATTTTTATAATCAAAGACTCAATATTCAAGCATATTGCGTTTGTAATCTTTTGCTAAAATTCAGCTATTAACGTCCATGTCATATGCTAAAAAAATATTATAATGTCAAAGTTTGTAGGGATAGGGAAGCTGTCTGCTAGAAATCAGAATTGGATGGTTGCTGTTCTATTATTTTGTAGGAGAAAGATTTGTGGCTAATGTATATAAAATGTTGATATTTTGACTAATGATTAGTTTAGAGCTGTGACCAATAACTGTTACCTTCACTTATCTGCGTTCAACTTACTTGGTAAGCATGTTTTAATCTTTGAGATGATCCTGAAAAGGTATGGGGATGTAAGTTAGGCCTAAACACAGTTTGGCCAATAGGAAAATGTTTTTAGGAAAAAGTTACAGTTTAAAGTTGTATAAACACAAAGTTGTTTCCATTCACTTAGAGCTTGAATGTAATGTGGGATGGAATAGACAATGATTTAGGATATCTTGGTGTCTTAAGTCAATAATTACAGTTTATTAATTGAGACAACTTGGATTTTGTTTAATCTATACAAGATAGTTCAATACAGTTAAGCTTAAATTACACAGGCAGTAGTGAAGTTGCAAAGCTTCCAGTGTGGGAATACTCGCTGTCGTAGAAAAAAATATAGGTCGCTTATCAATATCTATGGCCTAGGTCCTTTAAAAAACAGAGTGGGGATGCTGTTCCCACGTGCCACCTCATCACTGCTAGACATAGGCTATAAGTTTAGGTGATTGCCAACTAAGTCACTCACTTTAGGAATTTTTTTTATGCCTGAAATCCTCAGGTACAGTTGGTAAATTGAGTTTACCTACAACCGTTTTTCAAACTAAGTTTTTAGCCTTTCAAATTCAGTTCTTAGAATTGGAAAGATTAACTTTACCGCTTTGTTTCCTTACTTTACAGCACCAGTGTGGTAAAGTAACAGACTAATGAGGTTCAAGGGTCAGATAAGTTAAGTTACTTAGACTTAGTTTTAGTGAAATAGAAGACATAGAATTAAGGGCTTACACGGTTTGTAATAGGCCATCTTTTACCACCTAAATCCAAGAAACTTTATGAAAACATAAATATGAGTGCAACAATTTTGGTAGGCTAATTATTTACTGTAGGTGCCTCGAAACAAATTTTCAGTTTTGATATCTTAATTTATAGTTTTTCACCTCGTGTAACCAAATACTGTATAGCCTACCATTATTTATCACAGCAAATGAATATTGAAGATATCAGCGTTTAAATGTACAATGTTTGAATAAACGAGGTAGCAAGGATGACATTTACAAGTGGAATGAACTGAGACTAATTATTTTCGAATGTAGGAACTTAGCCCAGGCAAATAAGACATATGCTCCCCAAAAAATCTTCTAAAGCTGGAAAGTGTTTTAATACCTTTTGGGGGTCCCAAATAAGACTCCTGTGAGTTTGCGACGGATTCTGACGTCTGCTTAAGTTTTGGGAGTCGAAAAACTTTAGGAGTTGTAAGCCGAAAACTGGTCAAATAATCAACCTTTTGGCCATGTTAATGAAAATATCCCAACTTTGAAAAGCTACAGCGGCTAAACGGCTCGGCCGATTTTGACATATTTCACACCAATCGACGCGAAATAAGGGGGACTGACGACGCGGCCCTGGAAGCAGAATCTAATCAAAGAGCAAATGATCTGGCTGACTTTTTTTCCTCAAACAAACTCAAATTAAATTCACAAAAAATAGGATAGGCCTAAATGTATCCAAACTGCAAAAAGACAACATTTAAAAAATAATAGGACTCCAAACCTATTAATTGGAGAGGATCAAATTCAAATTTCAAAAACTGCCGACTTTTTGGGAGTGAGATTGGACGATAAATTGAGCTGGGATGCACAAATAAAAAAACTGGAGGGGTCAATGGCACGAGGGGCTTTGTACTTCGAAGTATAAGGACCTTCGGAAACCTGGATCTCTAAACTTGTGTATTTTGGCCTAATAGAACAGCACATTTTGTATTCAATCATCCTATGGGAAGCTGTGAAGAAGAATATTGACCAGATATTTGTTTGGCAGAACATGGCAGTAAGAGCAATCTTGGGCATGCCGCCTCGGTCCAGCTGCAAAAATGTTTATAAAGAACTTGGCTTTCTCACAGTCCCTTCACTTTATATCTATGAATCGCTTGCTATATAAAATCAACACACGAACAAAGGGCACACATGCAGTCCAACATAAACTCACAAAATTTGAACACAAACCAGATTACATGGGAATGATATTGTACCAGGCCCTACCGAAAAAATTACTTGAAATTTAGAGCTTAACAAAATTCAAATCAAAATTTAAAAAATATCTAGTAGAGTTAAGTTTAGAGGGCATAGACAGTTACCTAAACTTTGACAAAAATTAGTATTAAGTTGGTTATTCTTTGTATTAACCCTGACCTGTCCAATTCCTTAAGGCAAAGGACTGCGGACGGAGTGTGTATTATGTATGTATGTAATTAAATGCACTAAAAGACACCTTTAGGAGTTATAAGCCAAAAACTGAAAAAGTGCAACATTTTCATAGTTTTTCGACTCCCAAAACTTAAGCAGACGTCAGAATCCGTCGCAAACTCACAGGAGTGTTATTTGGGACCCCCAAAAGGTATTAAAACACTTTCCAGCTTTAGACGATTTTTTGGGGAGCACACCCTGTATTTGATCTAATTTGCCTGGACTAACTAGACACTTGGTAGTTCTTATAAAATTTAGGCATGTCAGAGTGGTGGGTCGAGCTAGGTATGAGGTAAAAAACTATAAAGTAAAACATCAGCATTAAAAATTTTTTTGGGGGTACCCATAGGCTACTAAACAATTAAACTTACCTCAATTTTTATTGATTATCCTTCACTGATATTAATAATAGGCCAATTTTAAGAGATACAGTACTTTAATTCTGTTTGTTCTGATTTAATTTAACTGCTGTAAGTAAACTGTTTCAGTACATTTAGTACAGTAGGCCTATTGCTAAAAAATGTAATCTTTGTCTAATTGCACCTGATACAGTAATTAAGGTAAGGATGCTGCTAGCAGTAGCGTACATATTCCCTGAAAAAATTAACATAAAGAGTATAGGCTATGAAGTTTAAAATATAATTAAAATCAGATAGTAAATTAAGTAGTGGAAGCAACTTGCGTAATAGCTGTTATGACACTCGTAAACTTTTAAGGCATTTGCCAAGGCTCGTGCCTTAATTATCTACTTGTGTTGTAAAGACTCTTAACGTGATTGCTGCATACACCACGTTTTAATACAAACTGTTAGATAGTAAGAGTGCAACCAGTTACCTACCCACAGTAGATAAAATACTTTTCTAAAATTATTATATGCTTTAGTAAATAAATTTGTTTTCTGATTTGTTTAAGGCTTGTCATGGACGAGGGGAGAATGAGCGTGGATTCAGATGAAGGGGAAATGATAATCAATGAGATTGATGGCTTGCCCAATCTTCACCCTAACTACAATGATCTTCAATTAAATCAGCCTACATCCCAAATAGAGCCCAGGACCATTGATGAGCTTATACATGATGAGGATTTGCCAATGTCTGTAATTGTTACCAACTTGGACAACTCCCTTTTCAAAAAAGACGATCTCAAGGTAGATGTGTTCTTATAATCTTTGTTGGGACGGAAAAAATATCCTTACTGACATTTTTGAAAGCTCAGATTGCCACGTTGCTCAGGCCTTAGTTAATAGAGTATTTGGTAATGGTAACATATAACTTTCATATCATGTTAAAAGATTAAAACGATAAATCATTATTCTATAGAATGTTCTTTGGCAATTACTAAAATATCAGACATCCTCTTTACCCTTTAAATTTATGCACTGTAAATTATCTTGACAGAATTCAGTTTACAATGATTATTTTTGTGGCCATTCAATTTGTATGGTTATTTATTTCTAGGATCTATATCAAGTCCTTTGTAGTTCATTGCACTTAACTAATAATATCATTTTGTAACACAGAAAGAAATAGAAGCATTGTTCAAGCAGTTTGGTGAAGTAGCGACTTTCCAGTACTTCCGCAGCTTTAGAAGGATGAGAGTCAACTACAGCTGTCCTACGGCTGCGGCTAAAGCAAGAATCCAAATGCACCAAACCCAATTTCTCAACTCCATCATTAACTGTTATTTCGCTCAGGTAAATCGTGCTTTTGATTAGTTTTACCAAAGACTAACCATTACAGTAGACTTCTCATCCCATTGTAAATTTTGAAGCTTGTTTTTCGTATCTAGTTCATGTCCGGTGACACTGATCGCTAGAGTCGACAAAATTTGGTTCCATTAGTTTAAGGTTAATTTAATTATTTGTGCTTTACTGTTTGGTTATATAACTAGGGGACGAGTTATTGTTTGGGATGAAATAGGTTTAGTTAGCTAAACGAGGTTTTAAATTACTATAATAAAAAGAAACAAACTGTAAACAAAACACAACCTCTACAGTGCATCAGACAGAACTAACAATAAAATTGGCTTCAGCTGTTCCATAAGGATGAGAAATCTACTATTAGAGTGTGTTTTATCGATGGCTTTACATTGTTTTAGCATTTGTGGCACTGTAAAATTGTTTGAGGCATTATTATATTCTAGGAAACACGGCCTTTAACTACAATCATTGTTTCTAGAGTTTTTACATTGTTTGCATCATGAGCTCTCTGCTTGTAAAGAGAATAGACTTTTTACTTTAAATTCTAGAATAATATTAAAGTTAGTTCTCCAAATGGAGTACCGATACTGTAAGTTAATAGTAAATTGAACTGAACCCTTATTTGGTTTTTATTTAGATGTTCCATGTTTTGTTACGTTTTGTGATTCTCAAGATTTTGACTTTTTGTAGCCCGTGACACCTATAGATGCAGCAGATCAGCATCTACAGCCACCTGCGCTCACTAAACAGTTTCTCATCTCGCCGCCTGCCTCTCCTCCTATTGGCTGGGAGCCGAGAGATGAGGGGGAACCACTCGTCAACTACGATCTGCTCGCAGCTATTGCCAACCTCACTCCAGGTAAATGAAAATAATTCTCATGTTTTCTCTAATCTCATATTTAGTAACACCCCCACCACAGGTGGTAAACTTAAGTGAATTTGAAAAATATAAAAATATTCAAGTTCCAAAAATTGAAAAATTCTTTTTTTAAACACGTTGGGTGCAGGTTACATCTGTTGATGTAGTGCGTCACGAGCGCTCCTGTCGGCTTACATCCCACTACATTCTAAGCTCAATATGAGCTCAGCCATTGCTGGGTAACGTTATAACCGTTGCCATTCTGTAGTTTAGAATACAAGCTGTATTTTGATGTAGTTTGGTACTTAAATTTCCCGTAAAATTCTGTCTAGCATTGCTTTTGTCCCGGTTTTGGGGATTTTTCTCTCTTCGAGCCACATTGCAAAGACACTGGCTACAGGTCCAGGCAGTGCTGCTACCCTTGGGTGTTTCAGTGAACTTCCTCCACTCTCGGGGTAACGCAGCACAATCCCCGCTGCTCTTTTGTGATTAGTCAGGCTGCAATATTTGAATGCCAATTGCGTTCGCTGGTTTGGTGGTGCGCCGGGGCTTCGCCGCCATTGACAAACGCCTGTGTAATAGGATTTCAGCACTCAATGTGTTAAATGGATTTGAGGTAGACGTATTAGACAAGTACCTCTTGGCGTCATATACTTAATCTGACCTGTTATTGTTGCTGAGATGGAGGGAGATTAGCCTATCACATAAGTGGTGCGATTCTGGCATAAACTGCGACTTCGGGAATTATATGTTAGACAATTTAAGCAGAATATAATAATAATAAAATAATATTGAGTTAGAATTGATTTTCAAGACTCAACATTCCATTTGACCCTGACTGGCACTAGCTGTTTATGAGCAGCTCAATGTACAACTGATACAATTAATAAAAAAAAATCAATTTCCGCATAGCACTTTTAACGGTACTAGAAAAGCCTTTATAGTTTGGTGCTAGATTGGAGATAGTTCAAAACGAGAAAGTTAATGGCAACTGAATGTTAAGTTTGTTCTTAATGCTGTCATTAATGTATGCTCATAAATGTAGCTTCCTTATTACTATGCTATTTGTACAAAATAAATTTTTTAAACTATCTTGGGAAGTCAACATAAAATCATGGTATGCGACATTAAGGAAAAATTAGGCCTATGTTTTACCTCAATTGATGTCCTTGTAGTATTTTACTACAAGGAAAAGTCAGAGTGTGTAAAGATTTGTACGGTATGTAAATCAATATAAAATCACTCTGGTAGGTAATTTATTATATAATAAATAACAGAAACTAAACTAACCTTGAAGAAGTACAGGTAGTCCATAGAACAAATAGAAGTCGCACCAAACTGAAACTCACAATATTTCGTTCCCTGGGGGACTTTGTCAAGTCTAGAGGAAGTGAAACAGAAACTCTCTGTACTTGACAAAGTCTCCCAGTGGACGAAATATTGTGTCTTCTATATGTTATATGGTCTATCTGTACTTCTTCAAGGTTAGTTTAGCTAAGCTAGACTCTTTATTCTACAATTAAAAATCATGGCATAGATCCTTTTGTTCCTTAAACAAATAAATCTAAAACAGTTATTTTGCTTCAGTAAGAAAACTAGAATAGTCTTTTTGGCTCAAGTTCATCCTTAAAATCAGCAACACCAGTTGCCAATTGTTATTTACTGGAGCATCACTTATCATCTTTCTAGGGGAGACCCACGAGCTTCACGCTGCGTCTGGCAGTCAGCCTGGCATTGTCGTACATGTCTGTGAGGAAGGCGTCACTGCGGGAGTTAAGGGAGCACGAATAGCCCACACACGCTGCCCTCAACCCGACAACTGAATCAGTTATTCTACTAGTTGAAGTAATATAATTTTGCATATCATGTAATTTGTGATTGTTCACATCGGTTCTTTGGTACAGTAGACCCTCTCTAAATCGTATCATCCGCTGGGATTGTCAGCCCCTGCTCGAGCTAACCCTAATTAAATGGTTGTTGCTTTTCTTGGAATCTAGAGATTTTTTGCTTCCTTCCTTATTGCAGTAATAACGTAGAGTCGTTCCCTGACAGGCTGTTTTTCTTTTAATTTTTCATTACTACTCGAGTACAGTATATTATATTTTATAAAACTTTGCATTTAACCAAACATTTATTCTGCTGAGTTGTTCACAAGAATAGTATCAATAATTTATTGATTCATTTTATACAGTTGCATGTTTTAGTTAACCTAGGCGCGGTCTCGTAAGGGTTTGGGTTAAGAGAGCGTGTACTGTACCTATAAATTACCATCGACAATGAGAAAAAACATATAAAATTATTAGAGCTTGATTGTCAACCGATTCAGTTTCAGTTCGGCTTGTAGTCAAAGACGAAGATTAGTAGCAGTGTTAGCTGGGGTTCAGAATAAGAGATGTTAGACTATTTTTTAATGTTAGTTGTTAACGAGTCAGATTTATAAATGATACTTATGATAGGATGATGTAAATATGTGATGTATATATTTGTGTTTTGTTTCAAAAGATTTTCCTAACGGACTCTATTTATTTTAGTGTTAAGTGTGCGCTTGACTTATATAAATAATGTTAAAATACGAATTAGTTGCGTCTAGTTAGTTGCAAGCTAAGAGAGTCGACGCTTTTATATATTGCTTTTTAAAGAGTAGTGTATTTTGAATTTCACTGTCAAAAGTCAAGTTAACTTTGATGTCAGTTTACATACATCTTATAGGAGCAAGCAACAAATGCTTTATTAAAAGTGTAGATGATTTCACTCTAGCTTAATTCTTACAGTAATATATTATTTTTAATTATTCAACAATCTTTTTCGAGTTTAAAGTTTGCAAAGATTTAATTATAACTGGTCCGTTGGATCTTTTTGTGATGGCTTTGTATTTTATTAAGTTTATTTTACAATTTAATTTTTAAAACAATTCCCTTTACCTTTAATATGTTTTTACCAATGAGTAACATATTAAAAATCATTGTTTTCAATTAGTTTCAGTACTATATGAATTATTACTCCATTGATTTCCAAAATACCATTGTACTCAAGACGCCACTCAATAGGCCACGAATGAAATTAACAACATCAACCCTAAAAACAATCTAAGAACCTATATTAGCACAATTTTGAAAGTCTTGTTTGGAAGCAAACAAATCTCAACTACAAAATCCAGTGACTCAACAATTTATTGTTTTGATTTTTCTTCAATGTCTACAGAACTCACTTAAGTATCAAATCTTCAAACTATTGTTGTCCATTTCATTTAAAACTGTTCAAACAGCTCACAATATTCAGTACTTTATTATTATTCGGAACATTTGTTTTTAGAGCATTAAGGTTAAGCTGCTGTGTCTATAGGTTGGTGGTCCGAATAATAACAAATTATTCAATATTCACTGGTTGCAGGGCCGTATTTAGAACCTATGAGGCCCCCGGCGGCTCTCACCAGAGAGGCCCCTCTATATTCTGATTCTTTTAAGGTTGGAACTAAGGGTTTATAAGTACACATGGAATTGCTTCAACTTGATGAATTGAATTGACCTTTTGTTTCCAACAATCCGATCGGCAAAAAGACCTAGGAGACTAGCTAATAAGTAAGTCTATTAATTTTTTTCAATAATAATATTAGGGGTCTTAGGTTGGGGCCAGACATTTGAATTTCTTTCGGGTTGAGTAAAAAATGTTGACCTTCAGACATCGGATCAATGGGGTAGTTAAAAAAATAATTAATTTAAAAAATAATAATTGATATAGGCCTACTATAATTGGTCTTTACAAAATAAATTATAGTCACCGTTAACGGCGAAATTGTAAAGATCTCTTGCAGTCACGAAGGTTTTAACGTCTCCCACGATCGCGGTGAAACAGATTATCGACGAAATAAATTTGTCAAGAAAAAGACATTTAGGCCCCCTCCTAGGCCGAGACCCCCGGCACAGCTGTGTTCGCCATTAGGGAAATACGGCCCTGACTGGTTGTTTTTATTGGTGTTTCATTGTAAACGTCACCTTCTACCTTGTGTACTTTCTTTGTAAATGTAATGTAACTTGGATCTTGTGTCTCTATGTTTAAAGTTTAAAATGTATGTTTTAAACTAAGACTTGTAATGTATGTGAAGTTTAGCACCTGGGTGTTTAACTTAACTTTCTATGGTGTTTCAGGCACAGCTGGTTATTCAAAATTTTCATATTTATCAATCTGTTTTTTGATTGTGCACCAGTTTATTTATTTTTGTTAGTACTTGTAATTTTAGTTTCAAATATACACACTCACAATTTAATACATGAATAGTATGTAGAGTCGACTATAAGATCTTATTTTGGTGCTTTTTCTCTTATTTCATTACATTGTATAGCTTCCACAATTTTGAGCTTGCTAGATTTCGAGTTAGATAGCAATTTAATAGGCATAGCTTGATCAAGTTGTCTTGGCATTGAAAACTTTGAATTAAATAGAATTATTGATAAAGTGATTTTAATTAAGTTATACAATACAAGTGACTCTCGCTCATCCGGATCGGCAAAAATTATTTTTTTGTGGCACATTACAGTAGAATCCGATTATCCGAGCTAAACTGTAAAAAAGCTGTAAAAATTATTACCGGTGGAACTGCATATGCAAGGCTATCAATACTGTGGACCTGGAACAAAATTCAAAAAACGGCTCTATACATATTATACCCATACATATATACATATATATATTATAGCCATACATACGTATTTGCTTAAATCTCGATAGTCCGGATTTATCCTAATCCTGACCGGACGTCCGCCACATTAGTTGGGATGAGCGAGAGTCTACTGTACTTCTAATTAGTTATTTAAGATTGACAGCTTAAAGTTACCCTAATGTTTAGTGATGAAATGGCTTTAATGACAAAGAATTGTCTTCAATAGGTGTTATTTTTTGTACAGATTTTTGATTAAATATAAGGGCTGTCTGTAAATTATGGTCTCCTTCGTAATTTCTGGTCATGGTCATCTAGTTCAATATGAGACCGGTGCCATGTTCTTTACTTTATCCACATCAATTCGAGTTGGTTTCTGTTAACTGGCTAAGGATTTAATGTTGGATCACTCCCTTCCCACAAAGACCTTATACTTGACAGGACCATTCACTTACATTGCCATCAACTACTACGAAAAACTAATGGATATTGAATGTAGGGAATGAAGTAAAGAACATTGTGTCGATTTCAGATTTGACCTAGCGACAGGGGCCCAATGAAGACTTAATTAATGGACACCCTTTGTAATTTAAAGGATAGAGTAAAAACAGTAATATAATCAAAATGTATGTTTCAGTCATTTGTCTTCCACAGAATACAATCCTTATCAAATGTTATGTCCTGTCAAGATCACTCTGAACTATAAACTGTTAAATTATTAGGACTAATTTGTAACTACACAGAAAAACCCCATAAACCGAAGTGAAAAAGGCAAAGCCGTGATTCGGGTAACCTATTTTTTCGATTTATCATAAGATAAAAATTAAAAGACTTTTTCAGCTCAAAATGATTTATAACAGTTGTTTATTTTGTTATTTGATCTGTCATCTTAAAATCTTCTATCAATACAAATTTGATCACAGCGGACATTTATCGTTGTCGTGCTGGCCTCTTTGTTTGATTTTTAGCGAATTTCCCTATAGGGAAGTAGCTATTACCGTAGGTGGCACGGTAAGACCTAGACCCGGGACCGATTTACTTTTTCATTTTGATGTCCCCAGAGGCCAAAAACACCATTCGTTCAAATTTTTATATATGTATATATATATATATATAGACTTATATATATATATATAGACATATATATATATAAACGTCCGTGAACGCGATAACTTGAGTAATTTTTGTCCGATTTTGATGAAATTTGGTTTAAAGGTGTAAAGCGGGATAAACTTGAATGAGTTCGCGAACCAGCACGATCGGACCATGGGAACGGGGCTTTACGGGGGGTTTTATGGGGTAAAAATTGGTTTTTCTCACTTTTGACCCTCAAAACACAAAATTTCCCGATTTCTCTTTAGTTCTTTTTAAAGAGCTTAAAAAAACAAATAATTTAGTATATAAAAGTATTTTTGTTTGATTATTAGTAACGGGGAAAATTAAAATAATTTTAAATTTAAAATTCCCATGTTATTCTTATGGAGAATATTGTCAAATGTTGTAGTTTGCTTGTTTATGGATATATTTTGATCAAACTTGGCAAATTTATTTATTTTGTACTAAGCTATCAATATTTTACTCAAAAACACACTTTATTAGTTTCCTTGTAGCAGCAAACCTAGGTACTGGTTAAACCTAATGTTATTAAAATATATTTAACTGAAAATCAATTCAGACAAATGGAAATTCGCTTAGTCGGCAGGTTTGCTGCGGCGGGGGTATTTTATTGTCGTTTCGATAAACCTAGGTTTAAATTTTACAATAGTTCTGTTAAAAGGGGTTTTATTGTATTACTACCTGGGTTAGACATTGGGTCTGAAAATTCAATTGATTTGAGAAAATCTGCAGTAATCAATTCTATAAAAAATCCAGTATGAACAAATCTTTACCGATGAATTTATTTTTATTTTACCCATACCATCACAATCCCAAAAATTATGAAGTAATTTTAGTTATCCTTTTTCTCAAAATTCTTTATTAGCCTATTAGTCTAGTGTGTTAGCATTGTGATTGGCTTAACATTTTTTTTTCTTGGATCAAATCGTGCTGAATTCATTGAACTAACAGAAGCTACATTCTCAGCTATTTTCCGTCATTAACTTTCCTGAACATTTAATTGTGATATCGCCAAAATGTCATGGCTTGTATGAGATGTTTCATGAAAATAACACCAAATAAATTGTAAATATTCATTGTTGGGCTAATTTAATTTATTTGTATGTAAAATGTCCGTAATCAGGAAAACAACTTCGCCGATCGTAGATTTAGAATGTCAAGAATTTGAAGGTCAATATTTTTAGGATATAAACTACTGTGGGTAATGACTAGAGCACCAGGAAGAAACGATTGAAGGAATTTTCAAAAACAGCTTATCTCGGCTATTCCACTGTGCCAGCTAGGTATTTTTTGTTAACTGAGCAAAAACATGGGTTGAACAATGAGTTATGCGTTTCAACCTTGAAAATTTTGATAGGACGATTTCAATTTTCAATTTCTAAAAACTTTCGATAATGGTAGTATTGATTCTTGATGCTTCGAAAGTTTGGATTCAATATAGATTCAAGAATCTTCCTGCAATCAAGGCCAGCCGAGATTAACTCTGGCCCAGACGTCATTAGGTTAATGTTAGATAGTAACAAGACCAGGATTAGAACTGTTCTCATAGGCAAAATGTAAAAAAATACCTCGATGATGACAAAATTATCAAACATACCTTCAGAAAAAATTCTTTCAAAAAGTTTCTAACTTTCAATGTCTACTATTAAATATTGAATGTGTAGATATTTATTATTCATGATTAAACCAAACATACCATAAAATCTTTCTTTGAATAATTTAGTAAATTTCCCTAGTTAATTGTAAACCAATTTGTTTTTATCCATGAAGTAGGCCTATCTTAACATGGTCTAAAGTTGGGATGGTGAGTGGAGACTGTTGACTTCACAACTCGACATTGCTGTACGGTAGTGTTGTTCCTGTCACTTGTATCTGTGCACTGATCTGTTTTGTCCCTAAGGTCTGCTAAGACGTGTTGCAAAGGCATTAGGATTCTGCCATAACCAGCTTAAATGCCCTAACTATTTGAGCGGTGGTCCTGTATTTTTCCTAGCAACCATTTTACATTCCTTGCACTCAAGTCCGTTGCCCACAGTAGTTAACTTCCCCCTAAAATTTGGTTTCTGGGATAAAATCTAAGATTAAAATGATATTAAGAATACTCAGATGCAAGTCAGGATTTGGTTGAAATATTTAAAAACATTTTAATCTCACCAAGATCTAATCTTTTTGGAACTTGTGTGTTTAGCATTTTTGTAGCAAGTGAAGTATGTATTTTTGTAAACATTACTTTTAACTTAATCCAATTTTCTTGTGTTTACCATAACCTGTTCCTATTATGATTTTATGGATTTGTTAATTCATCCATTAGTAGAGAATTTTGTAAAAATTCTCTTTAACCAATTTAGTTGATCGTAAACTTAAAATGTGTTATTTATATGTAAATAAATATACCATCATTCGTTGTACCTTTGACCACTATTGCGAAGTAGACATTCCATGCGAGTTGTAAAGTTATTGCCAATTTACGAGTAAATAACTTATTTCAACTGAGCCCCATTTTGAGTATGATATTGTTAAATATTTTATTTATAATTAATTATTTCAATCACTTAAATCATCCCAAAATGATAAGCAGCTTGAAAAAAATAGTATCTTTTATACCTCCAACTATTATAGAATGAAAAACTTTTTAGAATATGACATCATTACACACTACTTGAGAAGCTTATTCACGTATGTATTTCTCTTTGTGTAAGAAACTCGCGCTACAACTGGTTTGTATAATATGGAATTTCTATTTCAGTGTCCAAAAGTCAATGGTATTATGTAAATAATAAAAATAATAAATATGTAATAAAATTAATTTTTATTTTAATATGTCTATTTTATTACAGATTGGCAGTTAAAAGAAAACATTTTTGCACAAAAATTATTTTAAGAATATTTGGTAAGGTAGCTTATTGAATTAGGTTTTACATTTTGAATTAGGTCTACTCTAAAGTTGTTAACTGTAATTATGTTATATGCACAGTTGATTTATTTTACATTTTCTTTTGAACTGTTGATAAAAATATATTAAAGTGTGTTTGATGGTGTGTTTTAATCAGATGGCCTTTATTCGTAATATTTTTATCTGAAACAACTGTCTTTTTTGTAATGTCTGTAAAATGCAATCAATTTAAGATGGGGACGCCACTGTGTGCGAATTTAACCCAAATATGAGAGTAGGATGAGTGGCGCGAACTTGTAGTCTTGATAGTGACTAAGGCTGACATGTTTCTTGGACACATAGTCCAGGATCTGAAGGGGGTTGAGGATGCATAGGCCTGACACAATTGTATTTCTGATTGTTGTTATAGGCACTAAAGGATCATGAAAACGCATGTTGTCGCCCCCAGCGTGGTCAAGACAATCACGCTGTGACAACGGAGTCATTTTGACGATTGCGCCGTGACCGCGGAATCATTTCCACGATTGCATCGTGATCGTGAGTCATTTCGACGATCGCATCGTGACCATGGAGTTATTTCAACGATCGCCCCGTGACTGAGGAGTCATTTCGACGATTGCGCTGTGACCGCACTGTAATGAGACAGTTTCACAGTTAAAGTGCACCAGATATGACATTACTTAGTTACAAGTTTTTTCTATACATACAAATTTTTACCCATTATTGGTTTTTGTAGATCCGTGCCACAAACGGTACAAATTCATTTTGTTTGTCTATTTTGGTGACTGCAATACTCTAGATTTTTAAAACAAACCCCTTTTTTGTACAAGAAAAATCCCGTTCTGTCTGGTTCCGAAAATCGGGAAGGAAATAAAAATCCCGTCCCGTCCTAAACTAAAAACTCAATCCCGTCCATCCCTACTTTTAATGCCTCAGTTCTGTGAAAAATGTCATATTATAGGCTACATGTTTAACTGCAAGAAATGTAAATAAAATACACCATTTGTAAAAATAATAATCTTTTTAATTTAACTTTTGTATGCTTAAAACTATACAGGAGAAAATAACATTTTTAAAAACATTATATTACATCAGAGGGGAGTTGAGAAATACATACAAATAAAATAACCTAACAATTATTTGGTTTAAATAAATATATACAATTTAAACAAGATGAGGAGTCAGTATGAGTTTGTCAAGAGAAGAACGCTCACGCTCAATGATACTTGATAGGTAAGCAAATCTTCAGAAAATAATCTTTGGATTATCTTGATGATTCCGTCGACGACAAAAAAGACTTCAAAAGTACAAATGAAAAGATTACACAGTAATCATGCCATGTATATAAAAGTATTTATGTCATCTTCGTCCCTCCGCATGTATTTGTGTTCTATGAGCCACTCGATTTGTTCTTTAATCATCTTTTTGCTAGGCAGGAACATATTCTTGAGAATGTCAACGAGTTCAGTTTGTAACTGCGCGTTGGTTATTCTTTTCCTCATCTTCAGAATCTTTATTATAGCTTCCTGTAAAGAAATAGAAATTAATATACTTAAATGGCAATAAATACACAAATTTAAACTTTATATTTTAACTCTTCAAGGGGGCTTTTCCAGAAAGAAACTTCTAATCAAGTTTGTTGTAACTTTTCTACAACATTCTTCTAAATAAATCACATTGGAGGGTGAACTATAGTGTTCTGAGCTTTTTGTGGGAACTTTTGTGGGAAGATTTTAACTTTGGAATGGAGCAGGAAATGATTTTGTCCCTAAATTTTTAAGACAAGATGAACAGCATAACAGTATAATACATTTAAATTGTAATATTGTAATGAGTACATTTTTAAGGTGGTTTTATCAAAACAAATTATATATAAGTGTTAGCTATAAATAATATGGACCGACCTAAAATTCCAAATTATACTTCCCTAGGGTTTTTCAAATTCTTTTTTGGTGAAATTATGAATTTAATCCTAAAAAGCACCACCACTTATGTCGGACATCAAGGGGTGGTTTGGCCCAATTAGGAAAAAATCAGGACGGAGTTAAAAAATCTTGCCGAGAAGGGTTAAGTAAGTTAGTTGAAAATTTGTTACATCTTTCTTGTACAGTACATAGTATAGTGGCATATGGATACATAAATATTTACCTGAACTCTCAATATTCTGAGCTGTACAATACTCTCGTTGTCTTCTTCTTTACTCCTTTCAGTCGACAGCTGCAGCCTTC